CCATTTATTTACTCAACAATTTCTGAGTTTCGAAAATAATTATGATATAATTTGTCGGTCACCCAAGATCCAAGTCCCTTGATAGATAATTCCCCGATGAGAAAAATAACAGGAAATGGTTAATAGAATCACTTACTGTGCACATTCGGCAAGTTTTCCAAGATTCTGGTTGTCCAAAATTGCCAATATTAGTTTCTTGTTCTCATCAAGGTACTGTAAATGATAACAAGGTTGCATATCACATAATGATAAATCATTATGGAAATCCGACAGTAAGAACTGAAATTCAATAACATCATTTGTAAATGTAATGGTAACTCTTGTCAAAATTCAGACAAGATGTACCGGAAAAGGTGTAGTAAATAGTACAATTTAAGTACTAATAATAGATATTTCAGATTTATTCAGTTAAGAGAAGAAGAAAAGGAAAGGAAAAAAGACAACATCAACGTTCACACATACAAAAATTGGTAATAAAAACACATTTCCACGTTAAAAAAGTTAAATATTACTTGCTGTGACTCCTTGGAATAGCTAAACAAAACAAAAATTATAATTCCACCATCCGTTTTGCCATTTCGTATAGAAGTTTATATCAGTAAACCAAGAGCTCATTTCACAAACATATTTGTGATTGAGGGCATTTAAATTAGTAAAACAGGACCTCTTTTGGTTATGATGCATTCACAACTATATATATCTTAGCTACTATGTTTTCTACAGTTTTAATAGATCAAAACTTAGTTTAGTAGGTGCAAGTTACCCATGTTCTGCAAAACGTACATGCATGCACACACTAAAAGGCATATTGATGTGCAATCGTTTCATTTTGTGATCCGTTAGAAAAGTAATAATCCTTCCATCCATTGTAGGGAAACTAAAGTTTGGGAGGATGATTTCCTAATGTGAGCTTTAATTTAATAACTATTACACTTTAAAGATTCTTTTTTGTCGATAAAAATGTAAAAATTAGATGAGGAAAAAAAGGAGTTTGATGCTTAACTACTCAATTTAAAGAAAACAAACAAACTTTGTGGAAAATAGAAACCATACTATGAGAGAGGAAGTATTATTTTTGTTTTCATATAAGTGTATATTCCACAAAGTGGGTTCAAATGGATATAAATCCAGTCAACGATTTGCTAGCAAGCTTATTAGTTTAAAGGCCAATTCATATAAAGTTATTAATTATAGTACTCAGATCTTATCCAACCCAAGCATGAAAAGAGTTGCTCTTAAAAAAATGAAAGAGTTAGAGAATATCCGGCTTAATTTTTTGCCTTTATTCGAGGATTAATCCATTTAGGACATGGTTAGGCTTGACATTAGTGATTAAAATGTTAAGAATAATAGATCATGCAACAACTTCCACATCTTGTAGATATTACATAAACACAATCATATTTGGTAATTCATGAATACACTCAGGAATAGTTTGGTGGTGTTGCCTTCAGTCAAAAGCTTACCTTTGATCACATTTTGTTCAGCATATTCTTAATCAATAAATGTAACCTGGAGGCCGTACACAAGATTCAAGGAGAGGCCCAGATATTTCGTGTATCATGCATTACTCCTTATATTAGTTTTAGCCTTTTAAGATGCAAAATCAATTTAGAAAGTTTTACAATCAGCACTTCTAACTTATCTCAGTAGATAAATGACTACTTCATTCAATCTTATCTTGTAACGTCTATGACCACAATTTGGAAGTGAGCAATTTTAAATTTTAATTTTAAAAAAAAAAAATCTTTCAGATGTAAATAATATCCTATAATAATTGCATGCAATTTATAGTTTAACACACCAAACTGAGTATCAATATCTTCTGTTACCAGTTACCACTCCTTTCAATTCCTTTAAATCTGAAAATAAATTATAACCACCAATCCAGTAATATCTATTAGAACTTAAAATACATCATACGATAAGAATATTTTTTTGTTCAGTTCAATATCATCAAGNTAGAAAAGCAAACACATTAAAAATGCAAAGAACCTTATTGGTGGTAAGTAAGAAACATTAAATCTACTTTAAGCATTATTAATTTTATGTTTTTAATCATGGAGATAATTATACACATAATATAGATATAAACACTTAGAGGCCTTCATTAACAATCTGGCCCTATAAAAACAGCCTTAAGAAGCAGCCACAAGGTGTTACTAAATTATATAGAGTGCACTTAAACCAAAGTAACGACAAAAAAATGTTACCATTATCCATAAATGGACGTCTATCGTGATTCCGTCTAATTTACTTTATACTCATTGAAAAAATTCATTTTGATCAGAAATTAACAGCACTTTCTTGCCACAATTGTCACAATACTCAAAGGCTTAGGGGATTTATGTTCTAAAAATTGGTCTAAAGAACGGAAACAAGTAGTTGTCCAATAGAAAATAATCATCACGGACCACAAAAGATTGATCCTTTAAACAATTGATAGTCACTCGAGCACAAAAAATCCACCTTTTATACATATTAACTCCAAATCTCTTCATGATTTGCCCTTGTCGATAACACTCCACAAATATTATTGCTCGTTGACCTATTCCGATCAATTTCTACCTACGGCAAGTAACCAAATCATCTGACCAAAGAGTATATGGCTTCTTAAACACATTTAATAGTACAACCGACTTTCGAAAAGGAAACCCATGCATTTGCATGCAGTTGCAGCAACTAACACATACCACCTCAACGCAACAAGAGAACATAATCTATCAGTTGAAATTAAAATGCAAATTTCTATTCAAAGAGGGGACATAATTGGTATAAAACAACTCTCACTTACAAATTTCCACAAGAATACGAAGAGAGAGCCAGTCAGCAAAATCCAAAAGTAGTCTAATGTCGACAAAAACTGCCTCAATCAAATTCAGACAATAGCCTCAAAACACAAAATTGAGTAAAGACAAAAACCTTCTGAATCTGCTCGGTGGTGATATTGGTCGGAGGGAACGAGGGCATAACCGGAAACATCGGCCCTGGTTGCTGCATATTTACTACTTTCCTGCTTCAATAAGAATCGAACCTTTACATGTTATTATCAACCAAGATAATCAGTAATGGCTCTCTCTACAAAAAGGGGAAAAAAACCCTAAGCCCACAAATCAACAACCGAAAGAAAGTCAAATCGTTAAAACACATAATCAAAAATCATCAAGATAGATAACAAAAGCCAGCGTTTTTCCAAGAAAATTTACTGTAATAGAGAAAAAGAACATATCAGTTCCTGTAATTTACCTCGTCTGAAAGTGGGTTTTGGCAACTGGGTGAGTGTTGTATTGTCAAGAAAACAATATTTGAAATTGATGAAGAAAAAATGAGGGTGATTAATTTGGAAGTAAGCTGAATGAGTATGTATGACTATGAGTTCAGAATTGGAATTTGTTTATTTATTATTGTTATTTATTATTGCAAGTAAATAATTTTAGCTGAATGAGTATGTATGACTATGAGTTCAGAATTGGAATTTGTTTATTTATTATTGTTATTTATTATTGCAAGTAAATAATTTTACCCTTCTTGGCCTGCAATAAATTAAGTAAATAAAATTAATAACTGAATGTTTGAGAAGAGAGTAAAGATAGAACAAGTGCATTTCCACTGTGATTTTTTTCTTTATTTTTTTTTTCTATTATTATCTTTTATTTTTATTTTTTGCTATCTTGTTCTTTGTTTTGTCGGATGTTTAGAAATTATAATCACGTGTGCGTGTTCTCGTACGTTTAGCTCAAAGGGTTTAAACTATAATTTTCCACTAATATTATGCAAAACTTTCAATTAAATCGTGGCCATAAATAATTTTTGTGGATTTTTTTTAACCATCCAAAATATGCATGTTTTTACACAAAAATTTTATGGAGCCAGATGGTTTTCTTATGGAGTCCTCTCTTGCTTAATGTATTGATACCTGTCCAAAGTATATTTATTGCAGGACACGTGTCAATACATTATTTGTGAATAACTTGTAGTTATTTTTACCGGAGTTAAACCAAAAGATTCAATCCCGGGTCGTATCTCAAGGGAGGTTAACCGGATTATTTCGTACGTATATTCAATCATAAAAAGAGAAATTTGATTTTAAACACTCTAATTCAAATGGTTGGGTTTTTAATTAATGACTACGAATTATAAAATATAGCAAGCAAACTTCAAATTCCAACGAGGTTCGAATAATGATGCAAGGGGTTAGGGAGTCGGAGATATTCGTTTATAGTTGTCAAGCAATCAATTAGCATACAGTCGCTCGGTTAAGGAATCAAGTAACTTACTCGCTTAGAGGTTAATTCTCAATAACATCTCGTAACAAGAGAACAAACATAAACAAGTCGATTATTGACAAACTTAACACATAGGCAATACATTAACGAACAAACCTATTCCAAACGAGCCAAGATCAATCAATTTCTCCCATTTCGGTTCTACAAATCGATTAATTAGATTATGACGTTGATCAAGCATCTAACCCTAGAATGAGCGCAACTCGAATAGATTGAACGACAAACAACACATTCAACTCAATCGAACCAAAACAAATATCTCCTTTCCCTAACCGAATGTTTTAGCCACACATATTAATATCAGTCTCAACAATAGATTCAAAACAATAGTTCACATCCATAATAAATGAAACGAAATCACGAATAATCTACGTCAAGAACGAAATCAAAATACAAGCCAAACCGTGTTTGTTTCGGAGTGCCACAATCTCCAAAGCTCAAATCCAAGCAAATTCAATGAATCCAAAGTGAAAATTGAAGAGAAAATATTCTAAGGTGAAAAAAGTACGAGAAAACCCAGTCTCAGAATAATGAACGAGACAAAAATAAAGTCTGAAGAATGATAAATAAAACCCTCTCCTCGATGTTAATTAAACGCGTTCAATTTCGTAATTCAAAATATCCAGCGCCGTGGCGCGAGGCTCCACCGCGGCGCAACACAGTACTTCACCGCGGCGCTAGGAAGTGACACGGCGTGGCTGAGGAGTTCGCCGCGGCGCGAGGCAGGGACACGGCGCGGCGCGGCAGGTGTCGCGTCTCGGAGAGGTCAGGTGCCAAAACTCTCAGTCCAAGTCGTGGTACTTTCGTGGCGCGGAGCACTCGTTACCGTCATACTGCCGCGGCGCGGCGGCTGGAAGAACAAATACTCGGGCTGATTCGTGTTGAAGGCTGGGACGTACGCTGCTCGGTTACTCGGTTATTTGACTAGCTCCAAACGTGCGGTGAAAAGCCTGAATCTGCACACCACCAAGGACGAAAGAAAAACACACGAAAACAGGCAAAAGAGCAGAAAATATCGAAAACGAGAGATAACCGGCAAACACACGAAACGAACGACTGGTGGACCAAAAAAACTAAAAAGATTCCTAAAAACGGGGGTAAAAACTAGCAAATAAACAAAGAAAAAGATAACAAAAATAGGACAAACAACTCCCCCACACTAAGACCTTTGTTCGTCCCGAACAAAAAGAAAAGAAAAAAATAAACACTCAAACGAGCAAGTACAATGGTTTCAAAACAAGAAAAGTCGCAAATTGATCAACTAAGTTGGAAAGAATTCCGATGACCACAAGAACACACCTCGACAAATAACTCAGTCACTTGACAACACAGACTCTCGAATACAGAGATATGATATATATGTCTCACTCAGTTTTCTTCCACAATAAAAAGACAAGTGCACTCAAATTGGTCATCAATCAAATTAATCATAAATTTGCCCATTGTCTAACTTCTACTCTAAACAAATCAAAATCGAAACTAGTGCATCAAAAGGTCTTTCCGGGTTGTAACGTAAGCTCTTTGGATAGGTAGGATAAATATAGGCTAAGTGGCTCGAATTCATTACATAACTCAAACACCTTACCCCAAGGATCATACACTCAGCCGGTTGCTCAAACATACCAGATCCTTCCCCAACTTCTCCTAAAAACACACGTTTCACCCCACAATTTTGTTGTAGCAAAATATATTTTTACCGAGTACCGAATCGAAAGATTCGTTTCCCGGGTCGATCTCTCGAGGAAGGCAGTTCGGAATCTAGAAAATGGTGTTGATAACACATAAAAGAAAAATAAATCCTAAACACTCTAATCAAGATAGTGGTTTTTAATTATCAACTACGAAAGAAAACTTAAACAATGCAAAATCGAACTAAAAAGCAAAGACTAAGATCAAATTATGATAAGAAGCTAAGGAGTCGTGGATGATGATTTTCTAACCAATGCAAATATCAAGCTAAGATCATTCGGTTAAATGATTCGAACAACCTAACGTCTAGAGATAGTCCTCAATAACTCTTCGTAACAAGAGGGTAACATAGACGATAAATCACGCAAATCACACAACACATAGACAATATGTTTCCGAACAAGTCTATTTCATACGAGCCTAGAGCGATCATCTCCTCCCCTTTCGGTTCTAAGAGTTGATTAATTATCCTAGACGATTGTTAATCTACTAGTTCGTTGGATTTAAACACATCACAAAAGAACGAATCACATTCAATTGGAAATCAATTGCAAATCGAAGTGTCACTCTTCGACAATACTCAATATTCAATGCACGAGAATTATAAATCCTAGTTAAGCACAACTCGCATAAATTGAACGACCAACAAGCATGATAATCACAATTAAATTGTAAACATCATCATCATCCCCTATCCCTAGCGAAACGAATTAGCTACTCATATGGAATTCAAAATCAACAATCTCAACAATCAAAGCCATCATCTTCATGGATTAGATGACAAGAGAAACTTACGATTAATAGAAATTCAATATTCGAATCCAATGACAAAGCTAAATTCGGAAAAGTAAAGAGAGAATTGAGCAAAAAGAACGATCTAAATCCGAGTTTTAGAGAAGAAAAAAGTGAAAAAAACAATATTGGAGATTGTTCTCACGAGTCTGAGGATCGTTTTCATATATAGTGCTCGACAAACGAAGCTAAAACGAGTAAAAACGAGCAAAATTAAAAACAGGGGTTGAACGGTCGCGACTCGCAAGTTGACTCGCGAGTCGCGAGTCTAACGGGTCGTGGGGTCGCGCAGGCTGGTCGGAGGCTCTGTTAAAGTTGCGAGTCGCGACATTGAGTCGCGACTTTGGTTCGCGAATCGCGACTTTGGACTGCACTGCGCCATTTTACATTTCGGGCTCGTTTGGGCTCGTCTGAACTCGGAATTGAGTTTCGTTTTTTCGTACGCGTCGCTAACAAATCCATCTATCCAGTTATGCTCCCGAAACCAGATTTTTCTGAAGAGAAAATTCGCCCGAAGCTCCTGACTTACACACCAAAAATGACAAAACACGAAGAAAACCGGTGAAACAAACGAAAAACACTTAAAGACTCAACATGAAGGAAACATATAATAAAACACGAAACGGACTAAAAAGGAAAGAAACGACTTAAAACGGAAAAAAAAGAAAAGCAAAACGAGCACGAAAAATGCAACAAAAATGGGACAAACAATAACTGTGGATGGCTCCATAAGCAGAGCCACCCGGACCCGATGGCTCCACAGCAAAACTGTGTTTTTACATTTTGATTTAAAAACTATTTTCCTTGACAAATTAACTTTCAAAGTCCACGCCCCCTCTATTAAAATCTCTAACATGACGCATTTTTCAACTCAATTAACGATAAATTTTAAATCCAACTTTCAAATTAATTTAGGACTTTTGAAGCACATGACAATACAAACAAGATGAGGTATGCTTTATCGATTCTGAAAATTGATACGTCGGTAATCGATCGACGAAGATGGTATGCGCACGTGTGAATAAAAAAAACTTCAATTCAAGTTTTTTGATAACCAGAATATTCGGTTTTCTTTGAATGTGTCATATTAAAACTTACAGATAAATTTTATAAATATCCAACAGTCTGTTTGATCAGTAGTCAAACAAGTTGACAAATATCTAGCTTTTTTTAAGCTACTAACCAAACTTCGACTATTGGATTTTCACAAAATTTACCTCGTTAGAATTATCTCCTATATGCTTTAAAATGACACATCTAAATCTCAAATTTTTAATTATACATTTTATAAAAAAACGTATATGTACCTACTAGTTAAGTTGGTCTAACACAAGTCAATACTTCATTAGCTAATGAAGAGACCATGGAATAATTGATGAAAATGGTTCAAAACAAAGAGAGACAAATCTTCATAAAGGTATAAAAACTTTTGAAGTCCTAAAGAATAACTATGTAAAATTTTGAAAGAGTTATGGAAATCCTATTTGTACAACTTGGCCGAACGAGTGAGATGCTCTCTTAAATTTTCATTTATGATTAATTGAATTCCTCAAAATTTAAGAACTTACATTGTTTATAAGTTCAAGCGCAATTTGATAGTCCCCTTAATTTCAAACTAAAACAAGCTTTTAGATATAAGAATGGCTAGGGTTCTTATTCCACTCGTGAAGATTAAGGCGAGGTTGATGATATACTAAATAAGTTGAACTCAAAAAACTACATAAGATTATTTACTAAATGAACCGAGCCAAGCTGCGAACGCAAACACTCGTTTTTGTTATGTTTGAATGAAGATCCGATCAAAAATCGCCTAAATGAAAAATCAAATTGAACTCGATTGATCTTCATTTACTTTTTTTCCAAACGACCTGAGCCAAATTAGTCCAAATTAAACTTACACGAGCCCAACTGATGTAGACTATTATTATTATTATTATTATTATTATTATTATTATTATTATTATTATTATTATTATTATTATTATTATTAGCATATGTATCTTAGTAATTAAATATTATTATAAGAGATCTTGTCTTGTTGGACAAGTTAGGAATAGGATTTAGGAACCTTAGTTAATGGACTCCTCATCTATTGTTTTATTCAGTTGATTATTGAAATGAAATAAGATTTAATATCGTGCTTTAGTCCTCTTGAGATTGCGATTTCATTAATATCGTCTCACTCGCACGCTTCCCTAAATCACCAACTCAAGCTCGTGATAGATCAAACAATTTTAACCAAACTGATTCATTTATTAAACAAGCGCGAATTCAAACATGAAGTACTTGACTTCACTCGAGTGGCTACTAAAAGACAACAAAGACCTAAAAAAAGATTATTAAAAAAACAAAAAGTACTTATTTATATCTTACAAACTCATGCTGGAAAATGCACTTAACCCATGCATTTGTTTCACATGAGCTTCCCAGTCTATACATGTAAAATGATGAAAATAATTACATAATTTTCAAATATACTATCCAAACATGAAATTATTATTATTATTGTTATTAGCATTATTTCCATTAAATATGGTGGCCTGGCAGATGACAGAGGTGATGATCATTAGAGTACCGTTCATAGCTCCAAATTAGCTCATTAGATGCCTCATTCTTATCATCCTCCTCCTCAAGATTGTCACTAATGCAGAAATTCATTTCAGAGCTTTCGACATTAATCTCACGACCAAATTCGTTGGGCTCGTTTTTCGAACCATTTTCTGCATCGTACGCCTGGCAATTGAGGTGAGACGCGACCAGCCGGTCAAGGGCAGCCCAGTCCTTAATAACTCCCGACTGCTCGACTTCACGATTTTTCGTAACTTCTTCACGACCGTTAAGTAGTTTTTGCGGTTGGTAGCAATTGGCGGTTTGGGTTTCAAGCAGGCTCGGGAGTTTCAAGTGGTTCGCCAGCTGGCTTCCGCCCATCGACTGGATGATTTGATCCAGCGTCTCGTCGCCACACGAGTCCATGGTGGGGCCCGCTTGCCAGCTGGCGTTGGCTAGCGATTTGTGGCTGATGACGTGGCTTTTCTTGCGAAACACTCGGCACACGACCCACCCTCCTTCGTCCTGCATTGTCCCGTCGCCTATACTCGTGTTTCGCACCTTCATTCGATTTTTTATTTTATTTTTTTTGGTATGCACACATATATATACAATATTCGTATCAATTTCCCTCGATTTCAAAAATCGAACTAATGATACTTTTTGAATTAAAAATCATATGCTTTAAACAGAGCAATCATGAACATCTTTTCGAAAATTTTCGCCATAAAGAATAAATTTTTGTTCGCAAAAACTACAAAATGTCGGGTCGAAATTCGCTCCTTTAATCGATTGGTTAGTATAGAGACGATCTTTAACCGACTTTTGTTCAGAAATTCGCCATAAAAAAAAATGCATTTTTGTTCAGAAAGCTACAAATGTCGATCTTTAACCGACTTTTGTGCCGTATTTATTCGTAATCGATCAGTTAATAATATAAAATTATAAACACGATGACTTACGTTTTTCGACTCGTCACAAATCACACCACTCGCGATCAAACTGTTGTTGTCGAGCCTATATTCGTGCATTATCCAGTCAGACTTCCGGCCATGTGGGGCCCGGCCCGTGTAAAAAACGAGAGTTTTTCGCATCCCAATACGCCTCGAGCTCCCGTAAATCACCTTGTCGCGGCCCGTGGCCTTCCAAAACCCGGAGGCCGTGGCCCGGTTAGTCCGTGTTCCGGTTGGGTACTTCTTATCCTTATGGCTGAAGAAATACCAGTCATTTTGTGGAGTAGACCCAATTCTACACTTTTCTGCCAAAAAAAAAAAAAAAAGTTCCATTAATTAATCAATGATATTAAAGCAGGGCTATTGAATTGCAAATTCTATGAACACGATGAAAAAGGAGAGCGCAGTCGGGAGAGGAGAAAATAAAAAATTAGGTTTTCACTGAAATGAGAAAAGTGAATACAGAGCGTGCCCTTTGGTCTCTTTTATACTTGGGCCTAAACTGTATAAGATGCATAAAGTCAAATACCTAATACAATATTATCATAAATTGCTACATGAAGGAATATAAAGTGCTATTTTACAAATGCGATTTTGCTAAAATGGAGAACACTTATTTTATTAAGGGCCAATTGATCAATTTTAAAATGCCAAAAAAATAATTTAATAAAAATGAATAAAAAAAAAAAAGAAAAAAAAGGGCAAACCTTGAATGTCCCAAGGCTCAAGCTTGTTGAGATCAACATCTTGAATAACATCCAAATCAATTTTTTCAGAGCAAACTTTTTTCTTCAAGTAGTAATGCAAAAGCTCCTCCTCAGTGGGGTGGAATCTGAAGCCTGGAGGCACCTGGGATTGACCATTCACAGTTATGCTCATAATTTGATTTTATAATTTGGAGCAAAACTAAAGTTAAATTAATTCTTGATGATAATATTATGTGATATGTATATCATCATCAGTTAGAACTCTCTCTAGTCTCTAGAGTCTAGACTGTACAAATGAGAAACATTTAAGCAATCAGCAAGAGACATATATATGTGGGCTGGTGGGGCCTGTGACTATAATCAACTCATTTTATTTTGTCCATGCAATTATAACTAATAACATGGTTGGGTGGGGCTATGATTTTTACATATTTTTTATTTGGGTAAAATAATCTTTTGCAATTTGTTAAAAAAAATTTACTTTGTATAATCCAACCTGTACATTCATAGTATACAACTTCTCTATATCATGACCATACACATGTGACATGCCTGTTTTTACAATGATTATATGACTAAGATGTATGCGGGTCACAAATTATGAATATTAATGAAGTTCAAGTAACAATTTATCAACGAAAATAATATAAATTGCAATATAGTACAAGTTGTAGCTAATGTTTTACCCCTTTTTAATTATTTTTTATATTCAAATTTCATTTTTTCCTCAATACAATCCTTAATTTCATGAAAATTCATAATTTGCAACTTCCTAACATCACACTTGTCTATTTTTGCAGATGATTGTATGACTAAGATATGCACGATGTTGCAAGTTATGAATGTTAAGGAAATTCATCTTTACAATTTTATCAAGAAGAATTCTCAAAGTCCAAAATAAAAGTACATATTTCAGCCAATGTTTTACCTTTTCTATTTTTTATTTATTTTCAAAATTCCCTTTTTTTTCCTCAACCAATTAGACAAGTGGACTAATCCACACTACCTAGAAAACCAAAAGGAGGGGTTTAAAAATTTGTTGGACAAAGTTGAAAAAAATAAAAAATGTTGGGTGGGACCAATATATATGTGTGTGTTGATTTTCACAAAGTAGTGTGTAAGAAGCTACGAGGGGTTGGCAATGCCTCCATCGAAGAAAGCTACGGAGCACCTTGGAGACCACCTTAAAATATCCCCACGAAAAGCACTACTGAAACAACCAAATGGAGACATCAATCGGGCGAGATTGACTCTTATTGTGCAACCAACACAACCGATACATGGGGACACATGATAGGTTAATTTCAAGATAATGATGTGGTCTCTTGTGTAGAATGCCCAAAATTCATATTTCCTCGTGTTTCATTTCATTAGATAAACGATCGCGATACGTCAATACGTGCATAAATACGACATCATAATATATGTATTAATGTATAATGTAGAGTGAAACACGAGAATATGAGATGAGATTTGATACTTCAACGTGGAATGTCATATGGAGATGAGATGTTTATCTTGGCTGTCGATATAGCTAATGACCTTATTTGGTAATCAGAATTGTGGAAATCTAAATTAGAGGTTTCAGCTTCTTTTAATTTAATAATTTAGTAAGTAGTGGTTTGGATATCTCTTTTTTTTTTTCTTTTAAATCATTCGAATTGTTAATTTTTAAAAAGTTTAAAAAATATACTTTCTTGTATAGATGATTATAAAATTAGTCGTTCGTACTTGTCAGCATCTAATTATTTATCAAGTATTATGCATAATCAATCACTCCAATCAACTAGTTATATATTTTAATTCGACCAGTTATCCACTATCAACTAGTTCTTTCAGATATATGTTATCCGCTATTCGTTAGGTATGAAATAGGGCTTGTCTTGGAACTTATAAATGTAATAAGGTATTATTTTTGTTTGGAAAATATATACATGAAGGTCGATTATAACCTAATTTGATCTGATTGATTGATGTAGGATCGATGTGGGAGTATTTTGTGATTGGGCTTGCAAAAGGACGATCACACGAAGCATCTATAATTGTCAATTTTTATTCTTTTTGGTGTTTCGTTACATAGAGATGTTAAATGGAACAAGTCGCTCGTGAGCTCAGATCAGTTCGTTGAAGCTCGAGCTCGACTTGTTAGTTTGATAAATGAGTCCAACTCAAGCTCATTTAATGTCCGCTGCTAACTTAACAAGTTGATTTCAACTTAACTCATTATGCTTTTCTAAACCTTTACCATAATTTGACTCGTTAAAATTTGCACTCATTAACAAGTTGAGCTCGAATTTGTTTATCATATACTTAACAAAGTTGGTAAGGAGTTCAAGCTCAGACTTTGTGTATCAAAACTTCAAGTTCAGCTCGACTCAACTCTGACTTGTTTACACAAATTCTAATACACATATATGTATATAAAAAAAATATATATCCACACACATTCTACTTTCATTAATTTGCGTCATTACAACTCAAGAGCTTGCTCAAGTACGTTTTTTATTTATTTGATTAATTGGATGTTGGCTTAACTAATTTTAATATCTAGTGGAACTTTTTTTGTCAATTCATACATGCATATAATGTGCCCGCCAATTTAAGGACGCGGATGCCCCTTCAATTCCATTTCCCCGAATATTGCCGTTTTCCAAAGGTTTTGTCATCTTTGGAAAGCTCAATTAGACAGAAACAGAAGTGAGACAATACAACACACTCGAAATATATAACAAGAGGGATGGTGTGAGACAATTTAGTATCATATGCAGTTTTTAAATAAAATGTAATCTTATATTAAGAAATGTTAATTTTTTTATTTATATTATTTTTTGAAAGTGCGATAATTGAGTATGAACGTATGAATATACGTTAAAAAGTATAGTGCGGCTCGTAAAAATATTTATATAAGATAAGGTTCTAACAAAAATTGACAACAATGATAATTGTATTTAATTGTGTATGATGTTGTTTCTAACATCATATGATGCAGGCACAAATATGAAAGAAAACACAACTAATAATAGTGTTATACAATTGATGGGAAACTTCATACTTTTTTTAAGGAAATTATATTTTAAATATTTAATTGCTTTAATAACGTTGCATTTTATTTTTATTTAAAATGTAATTCGTCACTTATTGTAAGACTCATTTTTCCTTTATTAATATAATTTTTCTAACTTAGATTATATAATAAGCTTGATAGATAAATTATTTAATTAATAAAAATAATTTTGTTAATTTCCAATTAGAATTTATAAGATAGTTTTTATCATAAAGTTAGATAGCAAAATTTTTATATAAGATATATGGAAGTCAATAAAAAATTATTTTGATGTAACATATATTATAAGTGATAACGAATAAAAAATTTAATAAGTCTTAAAATATATTTATATAATCACTAGTAATAGTATAATGTACTACTCCAAAACACCAAAACTTTACACATACAATTATGAAGCTCGATCCACTTGTTGCATTTATGTTTGGAAAACTATGCATTTATATATAGAGTTCAAATATTGGACATGAAACCTTAGGGACATGAAATTAGCTAGTTTTTGGGATAAGGTTTCACACCATTAATGTATGATGTTTTATAGTAGAGCTAAGACATACATAACTCCAATAAATTTACATGCTTTACCTTAAAATATAATATATTGTGATATGTAAATGAAAATATAGCATTTTACAGCATAATAATATATTTTTATTTTAAAAGTATGGTGAAAGGACTCGCATAATTATTGCACCATCTTATATCACAATTTGTGAATGTTTTATTAATATATGGTCTTAATTGTCAATTCTAAATCAAGGGTCTTATCTCTAAAAGCATCATGAGCATAGGCGGGCATGCTTGTTTAGTTTTTACCGGTCACCCCTTATAATGATGACCTTTTTCACCTTTTAATTTAGTCCCCAATAATAATTCACTTTGCATATCTGCAAGTGACTAGGCAACCACTCCATATTATTATTATTATTTTATTATTATTAGTTCATAAAATATTGTGCAAATAGATTATCCAGCATTTGATTATAAGTTTGAAAGAACTAAACAAATCAAGGATAAATTGATTATGAAGCAAATTTAAACTAAATTCAATAGGCTTCAACAAGAGTTTGGCACATCTAACGAATATCAATGCATATGCCGNACAGAAATCTATATATATTGAAAGAAGTTTATGAAATAATTTAAAATAGTAACTTTAACTTTTTATTAAATAAGTTGACTTACTATTAAATAAAATATAATAAAAATTATTTTAATATTTATAAATAAAAAAATGTAAATCAAATACCTACCTACTGTAAATCAGACAATTAGGTTAATAGAACGACTCTCTATGTAAATAAAGTGGTGTCGAATTTGAAATTTATTTTGTGATAATTATCGCAATAAAAATCCAATTATTCGTATTAATTACTAATCACTTGAATTTCTTATTATTTTAGTAACCAATCATACAACATGTATTCAAGAAAGCATATACTAAATATGTTTTTTTTTTTAAATATTATTTGAATATGCACGATAAAATTACAAATATAATTACAAAATAAAAATTAAAAATCAGTTATGAACATTGTATTATGATATTTCTTACAATGTTACAATAGAATCTTATTTATCAACATTAATAATAAATCACGGTGATTTCTTATTCACTTGGTAACCAACAATATACCAAAATATTTTTCATCATGTCTTCAAAAAATTATTTAATCAAGATGAATATTTTAGACCATTTGATTTATCAATTACTCAATCGATTCAATTTTATAAAAGTTGTAAAAGAAAATTTTCACAATATGAGAAGAAATTTAACCATTTACTTTTAGTAACAAATCAAATTTTATCCTTAATAACAAATCGTGCGTTCTTTTACTTTGTTGGACATCATCATATGTAAACAAAACTATGTGTGAGAACATTGCAAAATATAAGTACGAAACAAGTTTAGAATCCAATTCTAAAAATCTTATTGATATAACTAGCACAATACTACAATATAGAATTGATACCTCAAAATCAATAACATATCCCTCTGTTCATATGGTAAAGAGACATATACCACAAATTATATATTGAAGGAGTTCAAGAATATCTAAATTTTATCAATAACTGCACAAAACTAATTTTCTAAAAGTTTATTTTGTGATTCACAATATCATCAAAAAATTTTAGATAAATTATTAGATTAGAAAGAAAATTTAAATATATATTTACAATATAAGTTATTATAAGTTATAAGAAAAAATAA